GGCAGGCAATTAAAAAAAGGGGGGGGACATTCTTATTGGAATTCAGATCCCCAGAATTCCTCCACAGAGGCGTGGCTCTCAGAACAGGCTCAGCACCTGGAGAGCATCTTTAAAGTTTGGACTAAAACCCAGCGCGGCTTGGTCCCTCTGAGGAACTTTGGCTTCCCCAGCCTTCAGCAGCCAACACCCTGATCTCGTATCACTCCAGAGGCTTTGTGGGCAAGAAAACGGGCCTTTTCCAACCATCCCGAGGCCACTCAGCATTCTGGAAACTTTTCTAAGATCTAGAATTACTGAAATTTTTCAAAGTTTCTCCCCCCCCTCCCGCACCTCGTTGGTTAATCATGACCTGATGCAGGGAATATATCTCTCCTCACTCGCTCGGTTGTCAAGAACTGGAGGCGTGATGAGAAGAAATGCTTCCAAATGAGTGTTGATCTGTCTAAAGAGTGTTGCTTTTTTCTCCCTTCCCACCTCCGGCTCTTCTCCTGCCTCTTCTCCTTTTGCATCTGAGAGCAATTAAGGCTGCCTCTTTCGCCTTTAAAAGAATGAATCCATTTGCAGTCCAGAGATGTTCTCTGGTTTTGTTTTGGGTTCCCCCCACCCTTTCCGGATCCCTAATGGGTCTGAAATGAAAAAAAAAATGGTGAGGGAAGAGAGTGATGGAAGGAGAACCGAAATCAGTGAGCAAAGAACGAGCAGGATGCCAGGTTAAGGGTGCGGGTGGGGAAATGGCCAAGCTTATCCTTGTCTGGCCGCGGGTGGCACATGAGGGCAGTGCCGATGTGAGACTCCCTGGTGCCCCAATCTCAAATTGGATGGAAATGGGGCTGTTTGCCAGCTGCTTACAGAGCCCATCAGATGTAATTCTGCAGCTCTCTGCATCATCCACAGCCTTCTCCTCACAGCTGGGGTGGGGGCTTGGATGGAAAAAGCATCAGTGTGCACCTCCAAGGTTCTGTGAAATAATGGGAGGAGGTGGGACCCTGAAGCTTGAACTGCCATGGAGGTCCCTTCCCAATCAGAAATGAGGTCTAGTTAGAGAGGTAGAATTTCCAAAAACTTCCATTTTTTTCCCAGAAGAAAAACAGGGGGGAAACTTTTTTTAGGTAGAATTTCCAAAAACTTCCATTTTTTCCCAGAAGAAAAACAGGGAGGAAACTTTTTTCTGGAAAAAATTGAAGTTTTCAGAAATTTTGCATCTCTAGGTCTGGGTAGTCTGTTATTTTCTGTGATGGGGTTGTCCCACAACACATCACCACAAATGTTGTTGTTGTTGTTGTTGTTGTTGTTGTTGTTGTTGTTGTTGTTGTTGTTGTTGTTGTTGTTGTTGTTGTTGTTGTTGTAATCTGGACTAAAATCACTTCTGAGGACCTTTGGGATTGCTGGAACTGGAGGCTGGGAGTTCAATTCCCCCCCATGCCTCTTTGCTGGTCTGGTGAACTGGAGGCTGGGAGTTCAATTCCCCCCTGTGCGTCTTTGCTGGTCTGGTCTCGATGATTCACAGGTCCCTTCTAGCTCTGCAGTTCTAAGAGGATGATGATGAAACTTAAACTTCTTTTTTATATATATAGCAGATCTGACCCTGCTGAGAGCAGAGATGGCTCCACTCCAAGGAAGACAGACATCCCCATGCTTCCAGTTGCGTAGACACAACCACGCAAGCTCACACCTCCTCGTCTTCAAGGCCAATTGCTTTCTTCCAAGAGAACAAAAAGCCGGCACACTGCCTTTCCTGTGCGGGTGATTTGTTCCTCTTTCTATTTCAGGGCTGTTTGAAATATTAAATAATTAAATTGTAACTCAAGGCACAAAACACACTTCCTGCGGGGGCCTGCGGGTCCCCTCGCCTGACTAAGAGCCGAGACAGGTTCTTGGCCCTGAAGCAAAGGCTTCCATTACGCGGCCAAGCCCTGGCACCGCTCGCCCTCCTTTTCGCTCCCTCTCAAAAGGGGTCAGCTCCATCTCTAGGTAATGGCCCCGCGATTCCATTTTCCAAGCCAACAAAAGAACACCAGGAAAAAGAGGCTTTTTGCCCGAATCCACAGGGGGCAAGGGCCTGGCGGGGCCGACTGCATAGAAGGGAAACAGCGCAACATTTCTGTCATGCCGAATCAGCCTCTCCGGGCCCCTGATGAGAGCAGAAAGGCAGAGAGGAGAGCGAGGCAAAAGGGGAGCAGGAGACTCAAGAGGAGAGTGAGGCTTCCTAAGAGGGTCAAGCTCTCCAGACACACGGCTAGCCGAAGGCTCTTTCGCACACAAATAGGCAGCGCTTGCCTTGTTTTTTATTTTTTTATTATTTAATGGGCTCAGACGGGAGGATTCTCTTTCAAGGAACTTGGAAGGGGCTCCTCCAGAGTGCCTCTTCCCTTTTTTCTCCTTTCGGTCTGGACGAGAGCTCAACAGGGAAAGTCAGACGGAGAATAAGCGTTCGTTTAGCCCCCGTGGCTAGGTGACTTGTGCCTCGCATGTCAGTACACAACGTTCACCCAGGGCTGAAAGCGTGTTTCTGCAAATTTTTCCACACCTGGCTCAATGATGGGTGTTCTAAAGCTTGTGCGTGCTCTTGTGTGCACTTTCCCCCCTCCAAAACAACTTGCACACTTCACAGAAGATGCAGGGGCTCAAGGTGGCATAGAACGGCTGGAGAGTTCAGTGGTTTAAGCACCTGGCGGTGGAGCCAAAGGTTGGGGAGTTCGATTCCCCCACGGGGCCTCCCAGACAGGGGCTGGACTGGATGACCTTTAGGGGTACCTTCCAGTTCTACAGTTCTAAGAAGATGATGAGTATTATTATTAGCATTGTATTGATTTTCTTCCCTTGTAGCATTCTTTGGATACTCCTACGTGAGGGTCCCTTCCAGCTCTGCCATTCTAAGATGAGTATTATATTACTATTATTACTCTGACCAACACTTCCCTTCCAGCTCTGCCGTTCTAAGATGAGTATTATATTATTATTATTATTATTACTCTCACCAACACATGGAGCTAACCTGTTCCACTTGTACTTCTCCTCTTTGCAAGGAGAAATTCACAAACTCCTTACACAAGTGTAAAGTTCCATGGCCTCAAACTGCATGAGCGCTGGCTTTCCCTAATTGCAAACCTGAAATTGCCAGCATAGACTCGGCACAGAAGGATGAACCTCGGTGTCTGCAAACCAAATTTTGCCCCCAAGGGATTTTTTAAAAAAACTATTTCATGTTTCTGCCCTGACAACTTTGATGGTGTATCTATTATAAACTGACAGGTAAACTGATTTTAAAAAGGCCTTTTGAAAGGACTGGGGTCCTTGTTCAGACTTGCGCTGAGTTGCTAAATACATCATGCCTTCCATGAAGTGCCTCTTCTCCGGCTTATTTCAGGAAAAAAAACCTAAAAAATTCTTTTCCAACTGGCCACTCCAAAAAGCCCCAGAATCGCAACTGGCTTGCTATTCATTGGCACCCCTGGGCGTATTTTCTCCTCTTCTCTGCAGGAAAGTGAGATCAATAATTCTCACTCCTTGATTCCTCCCTTTGTAGCGTGTGGATACAGCTGGCAGCCAAGGGCCGCTTTTGGCAGCACCATCCTACCAAAGAACCCTGTGGATGATGTGGCCACCTTCCATCTGTTCCGGCGAGGTGACTCAGCCACGAGGTTTGTGCCCAGTTTTCCCCACTGCTGTATTTATTGCCAAACAGTCCTGTCCTTCCCTGCAGTCTCTCCAAACAGAGATAGTGGCAGAGGATCTATAAGCGTCCTGCTGTTTTCCTTCCAGGGTGGAATTATAGACTCATAAGATAATGGAGTTGGAAGGGATCTTGGGCCATCAGGTCCAACCCCCTGCTCAGTGCAATAATCCAAGTCAATGCAGATCAGACAGAGTCCAATTTTCTCTGGACTGTCTCTAGTGTTGGAGCACTCCAATGTTGGAGCACCGCTCACCACCTCCTGAGGTCATTGGTTCCATTGTTGTACTGCTCTAACAGTTAGGACATTTTTTCTGGTCTTCAGCCAAAATCTGGTTTCCCGTAGCTTGTGTCCATTATTATGTGTCCTACACTTTGGGACGATCTGTTCTTGGACAGATCAAGAACAGACCCTACCTTTCCTCTGTAGGACAATATTTAAAATATTTGAAAAGCGCTGTCCTCTCTCCCTTCAGTCTTCTTTTCTCAAGGCTAAGCATGGCCAGTTCTTCCAGTCCTTCCTCAAAGGACTTGGTGTCCAGCCCCCTAATCATCCTTGTTGCCCTCCTCTGAACTTGCCCCAGTTTGCCTGCCTCCTTCCGAAACGGTGCCGTCTAGAACCAATATTCTGGTTTTTGAGGGTAATGGAATTTTGGTTCAAGTAGAGTACTCTTGAAATGTCTAGGTGGAAATTGTGGAAGGTGTGTCCATTCTTTGCATTCTGTTGCTTTGGTTTATTTTCAGCTTTTCCCTGGACCTCCACTTGTGTTATTTACAACATTACGTAAAACATCGCCTTCTCAAATGGTAGACTAGACACAACAATAATAGCATACCCATTTTGTGTGTTAAGTCTTATTAATGCATGTATATGCTTTTGCACACAGATACAGAGAAAGTTAACGTACAAGTATAATATTATTCCGTGTGCCGTCAAGTAATTCCAAATTACGGTGGCCTTTTTTCAGGGTTTTCTAGGTAGAGAGTACTCAGAAGTGGTTTCCCATTCTCTTCCTCTAGGGGGCGCCCGTGGACTATGCAGCTGGCCCAAAGCTACCCAGGATGGCTCTTCTCCCAGGAGGCCCAGTGGGGGAATCGAACTCTCCACCCCTGGCTCTGCAGCCAGATGCCTAAATGGCTGATCAATGCATATCAATAAATGGGGATCGGCTCTTTTGTAGAGGTAATGGGTCTTAATAGCCTCTCGAGGATCAAAGCAGATCCAGACAACTTTGCAATCAGATCCAGCAGAGATACCTTTCAACTTACCTGATGGGAAGAAGATGTTTAATGGCCTTGAAAGCTAGTAGACTCGCTTTTGCTGGAGTTTTTTTTTTTTAAGGGATGCTTTTACTGTGAATTTCTGCATAGGCAGAAGGGGTGGACTAGATGAACTTGGGACGTCTTCGGAACCTGAAGTCGGAGTGCTCTCTACACAAGGCCTCTGGGCTGCTGGAATTCTCGCCCTCGTTCTGGACAGGCCAGGTGGCCAGAATGAACTCTGTTTCACAGATCAGAACCCGCCACGCAAGAATAAAACTGACAACCAGACAGCAGCCAAGGTCCGTCATGTGATTTTGTTTTTTTTTTAATTTCCAACAAATACAGCGCCTGCCTGGCCTGGGATACAGGACGTTGGGGGGGGGGTGAGTGAGGGAAAAGGTGAAAGACAAGGGGGGGGGGGCTCTCCAGGGTATGATGGGAGGATGTTTGTGCAGAAGGGAGCAGTAGAAGCGGTGGGGTCTCCTCCACCGCTGCCAAGGCAGGTAGACCTGGAGTTGGAGGAAAAAAGGGGTGCAAAGATCGGGGCCTCAAAGAGGAGACGGGGGTGGCACTGAAACCTGCCCCAGTGCACACAGTGCATGGCACGAGAAAAATACCCAGATAGAAAAAGAAAAAGAGTTCATATCATTCTTTCTCTCTCTCTCTCGTTCTCAAGAAGGGGGAGACATCCGGCCAAGTCCTCAGGGGTGTGTGGAGGGACGGGGAGATTCGGAAAGCTGCGTCCGTGACTGTGTGTGCACGCTTTGGTGTCCCAGCAGTGAGCCGTGGTGGGGAAAGGCCAGTGGCAGAAAGGACAGGTGGGGTGGGGGGAAGAGGAGACCTTCCCCCCCCCTTGCAGGATCTTCCATGTGAAGCCGACGTGCGAAGTGGGGCACCTGTGATGGGGGGGGAGAAGAGGTGATACGATGCTTGTTGCCCCCTGCTTCCCTCCTGTGGTAACGTCTAATAGGTAGCCACATTTTTTTCCCAGACCAATAAAACCACCAGAAGGGGAAGGGACTGGGATTCGTTTTGTTTGTTTGTTTCCCTTTTTTTGTCTTGTTTTGCTTCTTTTTCCAAAGTGTCTGTGTGAAAATATATATATATGTATATATTTATAGTTCGCTAAATCCACGAGTCCCCGAGGGCTCACACTTCTGTCTGGAAGTCCCCGTCCGAGAGATCCAAACTCATGCAATGTTTTTCCCAGTCAGCTGAATGAAGTTCCAGTTTCTCCCGGTGCTTGGAGGGCAAGGAGCTGAGCGTCATGGCCTTGAAGGTACTCCACGACCTCTGCTTCTGCTGCCGGCTCTCTGGGCTGGTGACCTCCTGGAGGCGGAAGGAGAAGAAAGAGATTCAGGGCCGAAAGAAACGAGAAAAGGAATGAAGCAGGCGCTCCTGAAAAGGACATCTGAGGACCCAAAGTTCTAAAGGCATCCCGTAGGCCGTGGGAAAGGCACCAGGACCACAAGGAGACGATCAGAAGAACCCCCATCCTCTCTTAAACCAACCAATGTTTATTGTTACATCGGAATACAAGTAAACCATGGTTAGTTAAAACTGGTTCACAGTAGGGGAAGCTAAGATGAAACACAATGTGATCTTAACTTGTTTTAAGAGCAGGTGGTGGGGCACTTTGCGTGACAGTTCCCATAATCCTTTACAAACAGCCACGCTGTCTGGGGCTGATGGGGTTTGTAGTCAAAAAAATCTAGAGGGCCAAAGTGTTCCTGGGCCGATCTGAGTCATGATGTTAGGTGATAGATCACGAGGAATGCTGGTGCCAGAAGGTTCCCTCCCTTGAAAGCTCTCCCCACCCTGCCTCTCTCTGAGCACGAAGGAGCACTTACACCGGTCATGTTCTTTTCCCCGCTCCCTGAAGACATGCTCCACCGCTTCTCCCTCTGCACAGGAACAGATACAATTAATATTCCGAACACATGCTTCCCCGTATCCCTCCGACCATGATCCAAACCCGTGGGGTGCACAACGCTTGCCATTACTTGGTATGGAGTTCAGATTCTCCAGCAGAAGGATCTTCTACGTGTGGGTGGTCCCCCCTGTTTCAAGTCTGTGACCCTTTCTCTCAGGGACTGCTCTAAATCCCTTCTCTCCAGCCTCTGTGTTTATCTACAGTTTTTCTTACAAGTGCCCTCAGAAATTCCAAGTTGAAAGAAATCTGACTAAACACCCACGTCTGTATCTATTTTTCTCCGACAAAACACCCGTTTCGTACGTAGGGTGACATGTTTGTGGAGCATTCAAGAACGGCTTCAGAACTTCAGGAGATGCAAGCTTGGACGGACTAATTAGGTGTCCGTCTGCACGCCCATCCAGCAGTCAATCCACTTTGTGATTTTCAAAGAATCCATTCCTGAAACAGGTTTAGATACAGTCCAGGCTGAGAGATCAAAACAGCGGGTTAAAAGAAGCTTTTTGGCAGGTGGTTGGGGAGAAATCATGGGGTGACGATTCGCCTTAAGCTCTGCAGCTGCCTGCCTGTCTCCACCATTTGGTGGTCCTTGGAGGCCACACTCTTGCTAAGGGAGAAAATGCCATTTTTAGGTAGCATTACTAATGATCAGTAATAAACTTAATGATGATAAAGATATAAAATCAAAAATCTGGGTGTGAAATGCTGCCCACCTAAGGGAAATTGCACACATGTTTTATGGGGGGTTTTTTTGGCTGTCGCATGTCCGGGTGTGCAGCTAAGCACATGAACTAGTTGCATCTGAGTGCATGAAAGATAGTCAGAACACTCGTGCACACCAGTTACACAATTTGGGGCTATGCTGTGCAAAGCCAATATGATTTCAATTGACCGTCAACAGTATGGCTTGATCAATCAAGCTAGCATCATTCTTGTTTTCATGCAACTCTCTCTCTCTCTCTCTCTTGAATAGATGTGAATTTATGCTAAGTGGCCATCAACTTAGCAATTAATTAAATGCCCTAACACTAAATGGCAGGGATGGAGGCTCAAGTCTTGGGAGCAAAGACTCAAACTTGGGAGCAAAGACTCAAACTTGGGAGCAAAGACTCAAACTTGGGAGCAAAGACTCAAACTTGGGAGCAAAGACTCAAACTTGGGAGCAAAGACTCAAACTTGGGAGCAAAGACTCAAACTTGGGAGCAAAGACTCAAACTTGGGAGCAAAGACTCAAACTTGGGAGCAAAGACTCAAACTTGGGAGCAAAGACTCAAACTTGGGAGCAAAGACTCAAACTTGGGAGCAAAGACTCAAACTTGGGAGCAAAGACTCAAACTTGGGAGCAAAGACTCAAACTTGGGAGCAAAGACTCAAACTTGGGAGCAAAGACTCAAACTTGGGAGCAAAGACTCAAACTTGGGAGCAAAGACTCAAACTTGGGAGCAAAGACTCAAACTTGGGAGCAAAGACTCAAACTTGGGAGCAAAGACTCAAACTTGGGAGCAAAGACTCAAACTTGGGAGCAAAGACTCAAACTTGGGAGCAAAGACTCAAACTTGGGAGCAAAGACTCAAACTTGGGAGCAAAGACTCAAACTTGGGAGCAAAGACTCAAACTTGGGAGCAAAGACTCAAACTTGGGAGCAAAGACTCAAACTTGGGAGCAAAGACTCAAACTTGGGAGCAAAGACTCAAACTTGGGAGCAAAGACTCAAACTTGGGAGCAAAGACTCAAACTTGGGAGCAAAGACTCAAACTTGGGAGCAAAGACTCAAACTTGGGAGCAAAGACTCAAACTTGGGAGCAAAGACTCAAACTTGGGAGCAAAGACTCAAACTTGGGAGCAAAGACTCAAACTTGGGAGCAAAGACTCAAACTTGGGAGCAAAGACTCAAACTTGGGAGCAAAGACTCAAACTTGGGAGCAAAGACTCAAACTTGGGAGCAAAGACTCAAACTTGGGAGCAAAGACTCAAACTTGGGAGCAAAGACTCAAACTTGGGAGCAAAGACTCAAACTTGGGAGCAAAGACTCAAACTTGGGAGCAAAGACTCAAACTTGGGAGCAAAGACTCAAACTTGGGAGCAAAGACTCAAACTTGGGAGCAAAGACTCAAACTTGGTAGCAAAGATCAAATTCGAACTTGGTAGCAAAGACTCGGACTCCATCTTGGGACTCAGACCGTAAGACTTTCCAACATTCCTCCTAACTGGTAATCGATCCTTTGCATGGATTCTATGTTTAGTCGCTTCCATTGAGCCAATTACATCCTGCCATCTACCCTGAGCTCTGTACATGCTCAGAGGCACTATGAGAGCTCATATTTCAGGGCCATTCAAAGCAGCTTTAAGATCTGAGTCTTTGCTCTCTCTGTTCCTTTCCTCCGAACCTTACCTTTGCAGCATTAGTCGCTGGGACCCGATACCGGTCCAACGTGTGGAATTTCTGATTCAGTTCATGGTAAAGTTCCGTGTGGCGCTTTCGTGTGTGCATCACTTTCTATGAATTTATGGAAATGAGCATTCCCAGGAGGTGAGTGGTGAGGAAGTGAGAAGAGAGACAGAGACATGATAGAGGAACATTAAAATCTGATATATATTAAAAGCACACAGGTAGAAAGTTAATTACATTTTAAAAAATGCAAACTGAAACACCGAGCAGCAAAAAACAAAAACAAAAACCCACACACAACAAATAAGCAAATTGTCACCTTCAGTGTTTTGAAAATGCTTGGAAAGTCTAAGGAGTGTTTCATTCCCCGCCCCCCTTCGGTTGATTGTTCCCCTGACAAGAGATTTTTTCAGGTTAATGTTTATGAGGTGAAATCAGCTGACCAGGAGCCTTTAAGGCCTGTCAGAATGACATCCCGCTATCCAGTCTTTCCTGATAACTGGAAGGATATTACCTCTTCCCCCGTAAAGCCTGTTAAAATACTCTCCTCCCCAGCGCCAGTATTTTAATCAACTGCTGAAGTTCTTTATTGACCATTATAAAACTTGGGGGCCTTGATCATCTCATGATGCCGACATCCTGGATCTGGAAGGAGGCTTGAGAGGGAAAGGAAATTAAAATGGTTTTTGTAGGTCAAGGTGCAGAAGGGGGGTGGGTGGGCTCTACCCATTCCCTCCCATCCCTTTAAACAACCGCACATCATTTGAGAACCTGAAGTCCAATCAGCCTTCTGAAAAAAGAGGATTTTAGCCAAAGAGGAGGCTCTTAAAAGCCTCACCCTTGTTTGTATCCATAGACATGCCTTCCTACAAAGTCTGAGTCTCACAACTACAGAGCCGTATCTTCTAAGACAGGACAACATGCAAAGAATAGGCCAAAATGTCAGTGGACTCTGAATTTCATCATCAGTGGGGGTTGCAGTCCTCCACATTCCAGAGAAAAAATATAGGGTGTTCTCCACCCCCACAATACCAGGATCATCACCTTGTGGGAACTGCATCAAGGGGGCACTTACCTCAAAATCCAGGTCAGAATATCGCAGTCTTTTCCTCTAGGGAGGGAGGGAGGAGGGAGGTATCCGGCAGAAGTGGCAGAAAAGAGAAGAAAAGGAAAAAGTTTACTAGTCTGCCCCACAACTGGAGTCAAAAGGTCTTGGGGGGGCTTCTCAGGATCCATGGAAGCATAAATGCACACTGAGATGGAAGAACCACAAACTTAATGTGTCTGGGTCAGAGTTCGGCCAAAATATTATAGTCTCATAACAAGGAGGAAGGCACACCCAAAGCGTTGTGGGTTCAAATCCCAGGCTATTTGGATGGAGACTTCCTGTTCTGGAGTGGCAGGAACCTATTTGGTGGCAACCCTATGGCAGGGGTGAGAACTATGCCACACCATAAGGCAGTTTTTGAGGATCTCACAAAGCGTTCCCCCAAAATAGTCAGCTGACGGCCAAATTTTGCTTGCTTCATGTATGGTTTCCCCCATTGCTGTTGAACATCAGCAGCATTTAGTATGTGTGCCTGGTCTGTGGTGATCCCAAGAAAGCAACTGACTCCTGCCCTTTAGAGCCACCAACGACAAATAATCTCTCATTCTATCTGCAACTCCATACTGTTACTCTGTCTTCAAAATAAAATCTGAAAGGGAATTTCAGAAGAGCCATCAGCTGACCTGGAAAGAAACCTGTCCATTTGCTTCTCCACCTGGCACTTTCATTTTCAGGACCACCCTCATTAGTCAATGGGATGCCAGGTTGATCAAGAGTTGCCTTCCAGAGCATTCAGAACCCTGGACAGCTCCTAGGAAGGGCTTTCTAAAACCTGACATGGATTCTTCCTCTGCTTGAAAGCAGGTGTCAACTCAGAGTTGGGAAAACTTGCATTTCTGGATTGTGTCTCCCTCAATCTCCCAGAAATTAATGGCCATGCTGGCTGGGGTAATTGTGAGGGGTTATATCCACATGGCATCTGATTCCAATTCCAATCAATCCTCTCAAGTCCCAGAGAGGAGCCCTAAACTCTTACCTCCAAGGAGCCCACCTTCATGGCAGATCCAGGCACAGTACGTGGCATGGTACGGCTGCGCTCAGACAACTCCGAGGCCAAGATCTGCCGTACCGTGGGGTGCTGCTTAAACTGCAGGCCATAGGGTTGTTTGACGGTCCCATAGGGTTGGTTCAAGTTCACATTGATGTGGTCCATAGAGGCAAAGCTGGGGTAGGGGTTGGTTTCCATGGGGTGGCGGCCTTTGGTGAGGCCCGGTGCTTCGTCCAGTTTGATGTTGAGTTTGCCCTCCTCCCGGGCGAAAGGCTTAAGGCTCACGGTCCGCCGCGGCAGCACCATGTAGTTGCTTTCGACCGCCGCCTCTTGCGGCCGCAGCCAACCGTAGTCCAGCTGCCGCAGGTTGCTATCACTGCAAAGGTAAACCGGCCCCCGGGCTGCATCCAGGTTGACTTCCTTCTTGGCTGGTGGGTCGTTGAGCTCGTTCATCCCTTTCACCACATTGTGCGTCATTTTCGGCATCTGGACTAGGATGGAAGCTGGAGGGATGTTCCCAGGGAGAGAGGAGAAGGGCTCCAAGCCACCCTCGGAGCTGGTGTTGAGCTTTGGATCCTCGTCCCCATCCAGTGAAATGCGCGACAAGGTGCTTGTGATAGTGGCCGGGTTACATGTGTTGACCTCTTTAAAGAGGACTAGATGAAGGGGAAAGAAGTCAGTTAAACAGGACACACAGAGACAGAGTTACTGATGCTTTGGCCAGGACGAGCAGGTAGCAATTCGTTAATGGGAATGCAAGCATGGTGATACGGGAATAGCACTGAGGTTATTCCAGATTGCCCTAGATTAACAGACCCTTTGGTCTGAGCATAAGAGCAGATTTCCGGAGAGTTAGGTATTTCATGTCAAGGAAGGGTGAGCCAGAAAATGGTGAAAGCTGAGATGGAGTCTTGAGATGCATGGTGCCTAGAATGGCATAGTGGACAGTGGAATGGACTGGGACTCTGGAGACCAGCGTTCGAATCCCCACTCAGATATGGAACTTCACTGGCATGTGGAACTGCTAAAGCCACTCCTTAAATATCTCACTTACCTTGAAAGCCGTGTCAAAGTCAGCATAAGTTGGTTCCACTTTGCCGGCATGTTAACTAACTAAAGGTGGATTCAGGAAAATGGCACCTTGGCATGTTTCAAGTTATGACATTCCCTGGGATTGTATGTGTGAGTTAGGTGAGTAATAGGGGAAGCCAGGGGGCAGACATGGTATGAAGGAGAGGTAGGAGGGTGGACAGATGTGAATGGACATAGGGTGTTGCCAGGCCCTTAGCTGGTAACCCCTTCAGACAAGCTGGAGATTCCTGGATGGCTAATCTTGGCCCCCTTTTCCTCCTGGTTCTGGCACAGGAAGGATGGGTTGGTGGCCTTAACAGCACCATCTCCTGTGGCAACTGAGGCTCTACAAACCTCTGGGAAGTGTCCCCATTCAATGAGACAGACCTCCCACAGCCAAATCCCCTTCTGATGCAGGGGGTGTGGGCTCACTCACCTGTCTGACACGCCAGGTCCACGTCTTTTTCAAAATCTGTCTATAAAAACACAGAAAGAGGGGGAGAAAGGGAGAGAGAGAAAGACAAGAGAGAAAGAAGAAACAAGAGAAGGACAGGGAGAGGGAGAGACAGACAGAGAAGGTGGGAGTGGAGAAATGAATGTATCGTGGGTAGCATAAGGGGTTGACAGTTGCATGACTGAGCTATATCCCTTTTTGAGAAATAGTATGTTCTGCAGACCCAGTGTCAAAGACGGGAAGCTCTACTTCCAGAAAGGCAGCAACACTATAATAGCATGCTCATCACTCAGTGCTGCCAGGCAGGAAGAGAAATGTCTTTATCTGCTTGAGGAAGAACAGCAAAGATGGGGCCAAGCTGGCCTCCTGTGGGAGGGAGTTCCAAAGTCTGGGAGCAACAGAAGAGACGGTCTTCTCTAGTGTCCCCACTAAGCCTGCTTTTGATTCAATGGGCCTACTCTAGTGCCATGTACTCTGCGAAGGAACAGGGTTTTGAACAGCTATGGAGCCATCATCTAGTCCCAATAGCTCCGTTGCAGAACCAAACAAGCTTGTGAAGGCTGCCCTGGATGGGATGCAATGGCACGGGGTCAACCTGGTAAGCTAACTGTGCGAAACACCGGCGTCTGTGGTGCAGGCGGCTTGCTTCTTGCATCCCCATGACATGGGCCCCGCACTCACTCACCATGATCTGGACTTGCCCATTCTTGCACGAGTCCGGGGAGTTCTCGTTCTCGTCGCTCTTGCAGACCCCGATCTGGCACTTCACCACATCTTGGACCTGGAAGGCAGATCATTGGGTCTCATGGTGGTGGGGCCCCTTTCCTCCTTGGCTTCTGCTGACCCCCGTCTCTGCAACCCCTTCATTCACTTAGAAATAACCCCGTTGTGTGTGGTCGGAGGGTGGTGGGGTGGGCTGGATCTCCCTGGGGTTCAATCCTTTTTAAGAAGCAGGTTGTTCCTCCTCCCCACATTACCTTTCTGATCTTCTCTGCTGGCTCTTCAAGATTCACAGATGTTCTGAAAAACTTCTCCTTGATTTTAATTTGGGAGGGGTGGGAGGGTTGGCCAAAAGAAGTAGGTGGATGGGGGACAAGGAAGGCATCTCCCCTAGCAATGTAAATGCAATCAGCATCTAACGGGCAATGAGAACATCTTTCAGCTGATCTTTCCAGAAGAAACAGTGATGCTGGTTACCGGTGGTCCTTCTCTATGGGAATGAGAACATCTTTCAGCTGATCTTTCCACTCCAGAAGAATCAATGATGCTGGTTACTGGTTGCCCTTCTCTATGGAGAAGTCACAGTGCAAAGGGGCTCTTCCCTCCTTCTGCATCTCCTGTTTGCCCTTTTTTTGTAAGGAAAGGGGGGATCTCACCCAGATCTGTGGCCTGCACACACCACCTCTGGGCCTTGAAGTGCTGCTCCTTGACCCTGGTTGACTTTATATACAGGAAAAGGGCCTTCTCCTCCTCTATGGAGCAGAGGCAGCAATTTTACTATAACTCCCCAGTCTTTTTCAAACCTATCCATGTGGTCAGCAGGCTGGATAGCTCAGTGGGTTAGGCATCTGGCTGTGGAGCCAGAGGTTAGGAGTTTGACTCCCCACTGAGCCTCCCAGGAGAACAGCCAGCCAGGGTAGCCTTGGGACTGCTGCACTGTTCCAAAGTGCTCGCAAGAAGAAAGGAAGGGCAAGCCACTTCTGAGTATTCTCTATCTGGAGGACCCTGAAAAGGGTCACCATAAGTTAGAATGTGGATCTAGAGGTTGGGAGTTCAAATCAGCCTGGGTAGCCTTGGGCAAGTTGCACAGTCCCAGGTCGCCCCCTAGAGGAAGGGAATGGGAAACCACTTCTGAGTCTTTTCTACCTGGAGTCAAGAAGAAAGGAAGGGCAAGCCACTTCTGAGTATTCTCTATCTGGAGGACCCTGAAAAGGGTCACCATAAGTTAGAATGTGGATCTAGAGGTTGGGAGTTCAATTCAGCCTGGGTAGCCTTGGGCAAGTTGCACAGTCCCAGGTCGCCCCCTAGAGGAAGGGAATGGGAAACCACTTCTGAGTCTTCTCTACCTGGAGTCATGAAAAGGGTCAACCATGAGTCAGAATTGACTTGACAGCGCATGATGATGATTATCTCCTGAGCAACAAGCCAGGGCCCTGGAAAACCTGCACCTCAGCTGTAGCCCAACACCAAAGCATGTGTGTGGCCTTTTTGTGTGTGTGTGAAAAAGAATTTTGGAGGAAGGGTGGGATTTTGGAAGAAAAGGCTACACTTCACCTGCCTCTCAGGTAAAGGTGAGAGAGAGCAGGAGAATTCTCCCTGGGTGACCTGTAGGAGCTCGTAGGTGCAGGGCGGTCGGGGGAAGCTCCGCTCATTCACTGCCTCCTATTTGGTGATTACAAATTCCCAGGGACGTTGGCAGGTTTTGGGGTCCGAATCCCAAGCCCAAGTCTGAATCTTTGGTACCGAGTCCTGAGTCTTAAATCCCGAGTTTATGTCCCCATTAAAAACAAGTGTCCTTCCCACCCCTCCAGAAAAAAAGGGAGGAGGTGGGTTCCAAGCTGAGAGACAAGTCTGAGTCATGGGGGGGGGGGAGTTGAGTCCAAATCATTAAAAAAAATGAGTCAAGTCGCTAATAGGACCAAATCTGACTTGACAGCAAGTCCTCCCCACGGCTGCAAATTCCCCACTATTGTCAACCTGGTTACCTTGAGAATATTGATTATGAGCTAGCATTCTGCCTCCCCTCTCCGGCCCCTTCCAGAGACTTTTGTTTTATTTGCCTGCAAACACGGCAGCCCTCTTAGCTTAAATGCCTCTGACATGCCAGCCATTCTGGCGTGACCTTCTCAGCACGCCCTGGCGTCTCTGAGCTTCCTATTGTGACACAAGGACACAGCGCTTGAAGAGTCCCCTTTTTCTGACAGGAGAGTGAGGGATGGAGGCGGCAGCGGGCAGCAACAGGCCCTCCGTGCGCCACCCCTGCACACTCGGGCTTTATGTTTATGGAGCAGGTGCTTGCAGGCCCATCGCTATAAGATAAATGGAAGCGTCCAATGGGGAGTGGAGATGGATGGAATCAGAAGAGGAGGCCCGTCTCCTGAGAGATGGAAAGGAAAGTCGCCAAGTCCCCACCCACACATCAGACAGCCATTAATTAAACAGACAGGGTAAGAATTTGAGTAGATGACTGTAGCTCCGGGTGGGAAATGCCTCTACAAACAACTTGGAGCACAAGTATTTCTAAGAAGGGCATAAAATGTTTGCTCATTTCATCATTGCAGCTGGAAATTAAATATTTCATAAATCCGTTTCCCAGGTTTTGATGTGAAACTATGAGAGGGTTTGTGGAATTTTTTACATCCGCATCGCCCTTTTAAGGGGGAATCATGAAGATTCAGTTCATTGCCTTTTTAAAAGATGCTCCCACACTCCCTCCCCTGTGGCTACCTTAGAAATCTACTTGACTCACTGGTGAGATTGGAGATTCCTCCTATACCTGGGGTGGGAGGGGAAGGGGGTAAAATGAAACAAACCACCCAGCTCTGCAGGTTGTGATTCTGTTGGATGAAGGCAGGCTCCAGTGCATGCTTATAATAGAAACAGAATATATGTGTTTGTGTGTATGTGACCCAAATGAAACCACTCCTTAAATAAGACAACCAGTAGAGGTTTTGCTGCAAAATAAGTATTCTGCTTATAAAATCTTGCGTTCCCAGCAAAATGCAAGGTTTTCTGCACAAAATACTTTTTTTTTCTGAAAAAAAGAAAAGAAAGAAACACAGCAGCTGCCCCTCCCCCAAAGAGAGTCAAATGCTTAAAATGCTTTATGATCTCCCTATGGTGACCTTGAATAATGAGAAATGAGGCCCATGTCTCGTGATCTCCAGAAAAACAAGGAATTTAACGTCACCTTTCTATTATATTCATGAAGGCTTTCTATTCCTAGTTTATGCGTCTGACGAGTCGAAAAGCACCATGTTAAATGACAGCCCAGCAGATGGAGAGCCACCCACCTCTCTGCGGAGAAAGCAATGGACGGTGATGATGACGAAGCCTTGGACTGAGTTGAAGACGGCAAAGAGGACCTGGAAGAGGATGGAGCGCCGGTCGGTCATGGCAAGCACGGCCGACATCCAGGTGAGTGCCAGGAGGGGAAGGACCACGCAGGAGCTCCATAGCGATGCCCTGGGAGGGGAGAAGGCGAGAGAGACATGCAGAGGAGCCAATCACAGAGGAGAAGGGGTTTTGGAAGAGGTGGAGAGTGTACACAGGTAGGTCTGGCTAGGCTGCCGCCATTAGCCCTTGAGGGCCCTTTGGGGCGGATTGGTTGGCGCCCAGAATCGGATGGTTCACAAGTGAGGGGAAGCATTACTGGTGAATGAGCACATGTTAAGCATATAGCACAAGGGGAGATGCGCATCAGGGAGGCAGATGGGTTTAGTCTCCCCCACCCCACCCCTTTTGAAGCAATGCATATATAGAGAAAAGCCATGGTTCAAATCTGTGAGCAAACTCCACGGAGAGCACGTAGAAGCTCTCCAAGTCAAATGAACTCTTGCCATCATCCAGATCCAGGTGTTGAACCTCAGTAATACGGGACACGCTTTTTCAAAAGGGGGCTTGCCTACACCCCTCTTTTTCTTCGTATGTTATACTTATGTCTTATATTTCCTTCTGGTTAGTTAAGAGAGAGGAACTGGCTCAACATCACGCAACTGGCTCAACATCACCCATGAAGTTTCATGGTTGAAGAGGCTGGAACTCATGCCTTCTGACCAATGCTAACCTGACCTCACCATTGACTGTTTCTCTCTCTACCTCCTCAGAAGCATTATTCACCTAGTCTTCTCATGTCCAAACGGATCTGATGTATGTTATTTGGGTGGATTCTGGAGGATTTTGAATAAACGGTATCCGCATGGGGTGAGGTGGGGAGGCCTTTAAAGCTCAGACTAAACCCTGGAGTGGATTAACCGCCCTGCAGACTTGGCATCACCAGCCTCCCCTGTTGCTTGCAACTTCCTTCCTCACTTCATTCCACCGATTCATCTCACGTGGATCTTTCTCTGCTCTGAATTCTGATCTGGCCTGATTTCATAAGTGTTTCACAAGCAATTAAAAGCAAGAGATGTTTTCCTAAGTAGTGACAAATCTAAAGGGTCTGGAGGTAAGTTGAGGTGGTATTTCTAGCCCGAATCCACTTGCTAGTTCAAGGAAAACCCAGGAGATCAATGGGAGTTATGTGTTGACTCTCTATTCAGCAATTGATTCAATTCATGCACTCTGCATGGGACCAGCAATTGGTTTAAGCCCATAGTTTTCAACCTTGCATCCCCAGATGTTCTTGAACTACAATTCCCAGAAATCCTGGCAGGGGGAGGCTAAACCCAGGCTCCTGGGAGCTTCAATCCAAGAACATCTGGGGTTCCATGACTGGGAATCACTGGTTTAACTCATCAACTGTAAGAGAGATTCACTGTCTATACAACTATACGTGTGTCCTGCCGAGGGAGATGGGAGAAATGTCGGACTCTTCCATTCTGGTGCCACTCCATCTTTATCCCCATCTTCCTCTATTCAAGGAGACCACTGGGTTCCCCCCTCTCTCCCCGCTTTGCATGCAGACAGAAAGAAAAACAACTGCATGCACACGCAGGGGAAAATGGCAGGCGGCAGCTCAAGCGTGAGATTAATTAGGTCTAACTGTCTTTTAATCCTAGCATCTCCTCTCGTGCTATGCCAAGCTGTTAAAGGCTCATTAAAGAAGATGCATAAAAACAGAGAGACAGTTTCCGGCAATCTAAGCAGGAGAGCGCGTGGTAGTGGGCAAGAGGATGGACCCAAACAGCATCCGTTGTGGGTGTGGATGGATTTAGCTATTGCCAAACATAACTGAAGGGTTCATTCCCTTCAACACAGTTTCCAATTTCTGTATTTCAGGGTGTGTGTTTTAATCCAGTGAGGATACCCATTCTGGATTACACACGATCACGCAACCACAATATTGTCTTGGAAGGAGGCACTATCCCAGTGCCTTACAAAACCCAGTATGCTATGTTGACTGGTAATTCTGGGACTCCTGGGTTGAAAAACAAGCTTTCCCCATCTGTGCCCAATTCACTTGGGGCGGTTTTGCTGTTGTTGCTGCCTTGCCCCAACCCACTGAACTGAACCAGGTCTGTAACCGGAGAATGGTGTGTAGAACCTCAAACTATGTACTTATGATGGAATCCATGGCTTGAATGAGACAGGCTTCATTTTAGAAGCAGTGAGAGCCGTCAGGGTGGACGAGAACTGGAAGTCTCTTGTGAGCCTGAGGCTGGTTGGAGAATCTGTCCATGGCTTCATCTCAAGCTCCATATTGAGCGATTCAAATGTGCTCCTTCAGTGAGGAGGTACTCTTGTCTTTAAAAATTAAAAAGCCTTTAAGCCTGTTATCGTGTTTCCCTGCCTGTCTCCCTCAAGCATTCACCAGATACCGCCAGCAACTGATTCAGATGGCAGGGGTAGTACAGCCTGAGGGCTTGACAGGTCCCAAACACCTCTTGCGGGGTGAAGCAGGAATCTTGCCTCTGTCTCCTGCCTGCAGTACAAAATGGTGCGCTGTAGCGCTCTATCACAGAACAACGTTGCCTTGCCAAATAGTGGATTTGCATTAATTGCTGACGCAGTTGTTGCCCTTCTAACAGCCATGGCTGCATCCTCTGGAACTGTGCAATGTGTCGTTTGGTGAAGGGCTTTGAGTCATCTGCTATAGTTCAGTGGTGGGCCCTAAAGCACTGCTTCCCAATCTTGGGTCCTCCCCCGCCCAGGTTGTTCTTGGACTGCAACCCCCAGAAATCCTGTCCAGCCCAGCTTGTGGTGAAGTCTTCTGGGAGCTGCAGTCCAAGAACATCTGGAGATCCAAAGCTGATGACCCTTTGCCCTCAAGCTTTGTATCAGCAAAACCAAAAGCCCTCTACAGATCTCAAGATTCTGCTGGATGGAGCCATGTTGGGTGAAGTGGGATCAAGTTGCTAGAACAGCCAACAGAAATGGATGGTGGGAGTTGTTGTCATATTGAGAAGAACATAAATCCATCACCTCTGGTCTCAACAGACGAACGTCTGTGTTTTAGGCTAGGGGCATGCTTGCTCGCAGCTTTTCTTGAGTATTTTTGGCTGTGCTGAAAAGCTATTCCTTTATCTCTCTTTTTTTGCCGAGATTTTTAAGCAAACCACCACCACCACCCCACAGTTAGCTTGCTTCCCTAACTTGCCATCACACATTTATGTCTTGCCTGACATGATGGACAAAATGCGGTTGTGAAAATCAATGTGCAGAAAAGCAATTATATATATATATGGTTTCTGCATTTTGACAGTCATCTGTTGCCTCCCGGTCACATGCCCAGACACACGATGGATCATAAAATCTGGGCATGTTGGAGCATGCACAGTCAGCCAGCCAGACCCCATATGCCACTTGCACCAGTCCTGGTTTTCACTCGGTGAATCTCACTGAATTTTGGCCCTTGGAACTAAATCCAGTTGGCTTTCCATTTCTTACTTTTTACACCAGTTGAGAGTGAGCAACTGGTGAAAAAAGCAGTTCAGGAAAAAAATGCAGACAGATAAAACTATGATTGCAAAAAAGAGAGAGAATGTTTCTATACCAGCTTTATGCCACTTTATGCCCACCAAGGGTTCTAAACTACAACCCCCATCATTCTCAGCCCAAGATCCAGGGGATTATGGAAACTGTAATCCAATGTAAACTTCCATGCACAGGAAAGTCTGCAGCAGGATCTCAGTGGTTTGGAGGATAAATCCAACCTCAGCCAATGGGACCGCCAGGTTCAAATGGAGAATGTGGACCACAGGCTGGCTTGGACAAGAGAAGGGATGAAAGACCACCGCAAAGCCATGTGTGTCTTGTACAGAGGTCCCACTTTCAATCCATGAGATGTGAAGGACCTGAGAATTGCAAAACTGGGAAAGACCCCCGGTTGTGAATTTCCTTTCCCTTTTGAGTAGACCATGCTATTTTGGTCAACTATTTTGATAGGATAAAGCTACCCCCAAATAAAAGACAACCCAGTGTCGCAAGCACACTCATTAAGAGAATGCTGGCAATTCTCAAGAGAAGAAGCAACATTTGAAAGTGGAATTTCAAAAGGCATAGCCAGTTGTTTTTTTGGAGGGGGATCACTGTTCATCAACGTGCTTCGTTGACTAAACAGGCGGACAACAAGAGCAAGCCAGAAGGAAGCCAGCAGAACGAGACGGTGAGCATCAAGAGAGACTGACATTGCACTGTTAGCAGTGGCCAAGGGCAACGCTGTGCTCGAGATCACGCCGCACTTGGTACATTTCAAGAGCAGGCTGCCACATGGGGGGCTCCTGAAGCGGGGAGAGGCCCCAGCTGGCCTAACATGCATCGTGCTGCATCAGTAGCAGCAACGTCACCACCGTGCCCATCCCACCACCATCACCATCATCACCATGTACATGACCCACCACCATCATCACCATGACCATCCCAACCGCCACAATCACCATCATCACCATGACCATCACCACCACCCCATGGCCCCAGTCAATGTATGGAGGGTGCAGAAGAAGACAGCAAAGTAGGCAAAAGTGAAGGGACACCAAAGCACCAAAACAGACAGAAGGCCAGGGGTGGGGAGAGACAGAGTGGACCAGCAAATGAGGAGTTAAGAGAGAGACAGAAAAAGAGAGAAAGAGAAAGAGAGAGAGAGAGAGAGGCTCATTAGTAGAAGGAAGCAGGCTCATTAAAGGCCAGCTGGAAGGAAGGTAGGTGCGATTTCAAGGGCAGGATTTATCCCCTTCCACCAACTGCGGGAGTTGGAGGAAGATCGCCTTGAGAAAGGACGTGTGGAACCATTTTCTCGTGGGGAGGACTGTATGGCTCTCTCTCCCCCCAGTCCAGGAACTTTGGCTTCTTCTCATCCTCTGGATTTGACCAAGCCCTTCTGTTTGCCTTCTCTCCATCTGTAGAACTTTTTTCTTGCCTTTCCTAAAATGGGGAGATTGGGCTTATCCCTGCTCCTTAAAATGAATGGGAACTGTTTGCGGAGGCCCTGGGAAGTCTAAATAATTAAAACCTAAGATTATAGGAAGAGTCTGAAAAGGAAAAAAAAAACACCACAGTGCAAGTGTGTTTTCAGTTTCTACAGTGGTTCAGGAATTAGGTACGTTTACATTGAAACAGGGAAAGCTCTTTTTTTAAAGAATACATTAACAAATCTTTACATTCTACACAAATCTCTGTCCCTTTCTCTCCAGGCAAGCCTTCCCTCAGAAATTAGCTACCTATGTGTGATTTTTAGAGAGATCATTATTGTGTTTTCCATTTTGGGGTTTTATATTTCTTAGAGTGACCCCCTTTTTTTAAAAAAAAATATTTGCATACATATTATTACTAGCTTTAATTATTGCCTTTTAATTATGTAAGAGGCCTCTTTATACTCATCGTTTTGAGCTTTAAAAATTGTCTTTCAATGTTGTAAGCCGCCTTCGATCCTTTCATACAACCAACCAACCAACCAACCAACCAACCAACCAACCAACCAACCAACCAACCAACCAATCAATCATTATGACTGCAGGCAGGCAGAAATGCTATGTTTTCTTGGCAGGCATGGTTAATTTTGCATGTTCAAAATAGGTGAATGTGTGTGTGTGTGCATGTCTGCATGCATACATTGTGAGCTTTGGTACTGTAGTAAGTAGGAGAATCAGAGAAAGAGGAAAACCATACCCAGCTCGCTGCTTCTTGGATTTATCTGAGATGCCATCTCGAGACATCAGCTTGTTGAAGACAATAATTCCAATCAGCATGTTGACCTGACAGAGGAGGGAGGGAAGGAGGAAGGGAGAACGAGAGAGATTAAGAATGGAACTCAAAGGGCTATCTAATTTCTAGGTCACCCATCACTGTGAAGCTCCTGAAGATGCATAGCATTGCTTAATAAAACCACATTAAAACATTAAGGCACACAAAGAATGATAGAAGCAGAGAAAGAGCCCATGGAAAATCAGTGAACTCCAGCACAGTCGGGTCACAGTACTAAAACTGGCTATCAAAGAGGCAGAAATCAAATGCCGGACCCATGGCCTGAATCCCAGGTGGGCACAACCTATCCAAAATCAATGGATCAACTGGTGCAGGTGCGCCCGGTTCCCTTCCAGGCCTTATGCACATTGGCCTGAGGAATAATGAAAGGGAAGTGCATGCCACAGATCCCTAGGTTTCTAAATCGTAACTGAAGAGAAGATCTCCAGGGCACTTACCAGAACGATCACAGCAGCAGGGCCAACAAAGGCGTAGAGGAGTCCTCCTTCAAGGGACAGCCAACAGCTGGGGAGGGAAGGAGAACACCATCCGTCAGCCACGGAAGGATGTGAAGGGACCTCAACTCAACAGTTCCCAACCACTGTCTTGCCTGAAAAGGGATCTGAAGCTTCCAGACAGCCTGATCCTATATCTGTTTTGCTTCCAGTTCCCTCTCTCTAACTTCCCTTCTTGCACCCTTTGTCATGTTACTGATATAGCCTTAAAGGACATAGCGTTCAGGGTGCTGTGCAAAGCTGTGTCTGCTTCCTCTTTGGTGGACCTGTCAACTGTTCTCAACGATATTCAGCTAGGCCGAAACTAACCAGCTGGTGGGTACTTCAGAATCAAAGGCAGCCTATATTTAGCCAACTCTTTGTTTGTGCTTTGCGTTGAGGAACGTCAACCTTTCAGCCTCTGGCTCTCAGTGTGAAAAAGAAAATAAATAATCCTCATTTCTCCTGATTTTGTGCTTTTGTTTTCCCCCCCATGAGAAATCTTGTAGTAAATCTCAGGGGAGAAGTCTCAGAAGTTTTATGCTCTCCCTCCCCCCAGAAACACCAGCTTGCTGCAAGTCCTATGTAGGATGGTGTCTTTCCTACACAGGACCCATCCAGAAAAGGCAGAAGAAACACCATGTAATATACGATTTGTACAATTCCTGCAGAGGATGGGATCTTAGTGCAGGATTCTCCCCTTCAGCTGTGCAGGACTTGGCAGGTTCCTTGGCAAGTGAAAAAGGAAAGGTTGGGAGGAATGAAATTAGGGTCTCATTTTTGCAGGAAGTCAACAAATCTTGTCACAATGTACAGAAAGTTCACAGCAGGGTGTCTTGGCATGGCAAGACTCAGAAAATCACAGAGAATGAGACGTTTTGGAAGTACACATCACATTTCTACTTCCAGTCTCAGATGGTTCAGTTCGTATTATGAATACTCAAGAAAAGTGATTCCAAGTCTCAGATGGTTCAGTTCGTATTATGATTACTCAAGAAAAGTGATTCCAAACCAGTCCCCAGATGTTTCTGGACTACAACTCCCAGAAATCCTGGTCAGCATAGCTCATGGTGAAGACTTCTGGGAGTTTCAGTCCAAGAACTGCTGGATAACTCAGTGTCTTAGGTCTCTTGCTGTGGGGCTAGAGGTTGGGAGTTCTATTCCCCCAATGTGCCTCTTTGAGAAGGACTGTATTCCATGATCCATCTGGTCCCTTCCAGCTCTGTCGTTCAAAGGTGGTGGTTGTTTAACATTTGGGCTTCCAGCTCTGCAGTTCAAAGGTGGTGGTTGTTTAACATCTGGGGGCCCAAGGTTGGGAACCACTGCTCTAGAAGATTTTCTCCATGGAAGACTAGGATACAGATCAGACCTAATGTTGGGAACCACTGCTCTAGAAGATTTTGTCCATGGAAGACTAGGATACAGATCGTCAGCTAACCTTTTTGCTCCAAAAATCTCAGCGAACCCTGCCACAGGTAACTCGCATGGCATGCGAGTAGGGCTGGCCAGCCGGTCATCTGTCAGTTTGATCACAGTGGCCTGCCAATGGCATTGAAGTCGGATGGGCAAGTCCTGAACAAATTTTTGGAGTTGTCCTGTTCCTTCTGTTCACTGCTTAATGGGATCTGTCAAGGGTGTAGTAGAGCTATGCTTTGGGAGCATGAACCCATTTTCTCCCCTTCCCGTAAAACTTACTAGCTGGATGTCCCGTATCCTTTGGTCCTTGTGAAGCCCACGGAGACGGCGACCACAAGCGCTGGCAATCCTGGGTCAGAGAGAAATATGCAAGTTACTCAGTTGTACAATAGCCTCTCTCTCTCTCTCTCTCTCCATTCTTTCTTCACAAAGAGAAAAGACACAATTTCTGTTAAGAGACCTCTCCCACAAATAACACAAGCCTAGACAATCAAACAATGATTTTTTTAAATGCTTGTTTTCTTCTTCTTGTGCCGGAGGTCAGAAGCCTTGCAAGACCTAAGAATTCATGACTAAGGGCTTGCACGGTGTTGAGACAGACACCCTTGGCCGAGGCCACCAAACAACACGGAGAGTTATTCTTCAACCCCCTCAGCTCTTACCCCATCCGAGGCAGAGGAAGCGTTTACGGACGAGGCGGGTCCGCATCCTACCGATCACAGCCAGGTAAGACTGCCAGGCTTCTGTCAGCACCCAGCAGAAGGAAGAAAGGAAGAAGAAATGGAGGAACGCAGCTGTCATGGTACAAACACCCTGGAGAGAGAGAGAAAAAAGAGGAGCAGAAGGAAAGAGTGGAAAGCGGATTCAGATTATTCAAGACAGAATGGCATTATTTCACACCCGTTGTGTGTGAATCCCTTCCATGGGATATCTGGTGTTGGTTCCTCACAGGGATTGTTGGCCCAAGTCCCAAGTCTGTATTGGAGTCTTTTGGTACCAAGTCCTGAGTCCCTATTAAAAACAAGCTTCACCCCCCCACCACCACCACCAGCAAAAAAGCGAGGGAGTCAATGGGTTCCAGGTTGTGAGTCACGTCCTTGTCAATGAAAGCAACTTGAGTGGACTCTGAGTCAAGTCGGCAGTGTGACTTAAGTCTGACTTGATACGGAGTCCCGCGTCTCAAGTCACCATCCCTGATTCCTCACAAACAATAATAAGCATTTATATCACATTTTTGGAATTCGATGCATCACACACGTGTATCCTTTATAATCCTTATGATACCTCTGCAATGTGTGGCGGACCAGTGTTTCTACCTGTTCCAAACTGCAGGTAAGGACTAAGGTGAAGGTCACACACACAGATGGCCCGTGAACATTTTAGGAACTTTGGATGAGGGGCGACGTTATTTGTTTGTGACTTTATTTTTTAAATGACATATCATCATCTCAGACGCAGGGATGTGACGTCACAGAGAGAATAACCCGGGTTGCCACAGCAACCAACAGGAGTAAAACGCTGGAATCAGGGGCTGACGGTGAAGGCTGGAAAACGAAAGGAGGAGGATGCCGAGGAGCTGGCAGGACCCATGCTGATACATACTAGATTTTAAATTGTCTTTTAATGCCACATGTTTTTACAAAGTATTTGTCATTTTGGAAACTGTGTGCTTGGTCTAAGGACTGTGACAATAAACTGTACAGTGTGCATTTAAACTTCCAGATCGTAACCTTGATCTCTAGGCGCCAGCCACTGTTTATCCTCGTGCATATGCAATTTATTAAAATTAAGAGCACTCCTCCTGCACGCAGAGGTCAGGCGCAGCCTAATACACGGTGGCGCTCTGTGGCTTCAGAACCACGGAAGGACTCCAGGTCCTCTCCTCTCAACCGAACGAAACCGGTTCGCAGGCCACGGCATCATACAGCGGCTGCTCAGCCCACTGGCCTCCTTCCCCCCCCCACTCCAGCTTTAATCAGTCAATGGCTGTTTTAGGTTTAAGCGACATTATATCACAACGAGGTGGCAATAGAGGATGCTTGGCAGGGTTCCAGAGGCTGGGGAAAAAAGAGCAGAGCCCAGCCGCTCTCTGTACGTACAGGGAACACACAGAAACCGAGAAGATAAATTGCCCTCTCCATCACTTTTGGAATGCACCTCACAGGATATCAGTGGGTCCTCAGCCCACTGGCCTCCTTCCCGGTGTAGTCCAGGCAAAGTCCAACCGGTGTAAAAACCACACACACACACAATACACCCAACAACCCATTTCTGCAACACAGAACATGGGACGATCTATTACAAACCATGGCTAACCAGCTCCAAGCTTCATCTAAACCAGACTCCTGCAGAGGAGCCCTGGTGCAAAGCCACTGGTAGAGGATCAAGCCTGGGAAAGCTACGTTTAAAAAAACTACATCTCCCAGAATTCCACCAAGAAAATATGACCAGGGGATTGGAAGCCACTTGCCAGAGGGAGCTCTCCTTTGACAACAAGGAAAAGCAAAACACAAGAAAGATAGCTAGGGAAAGCCAGGTCTTGTGATAAGCAGACCTCTATTACCACTTGGGGGAGCACGTCTGCAAAAAACATGGTAAGTGTGTCATCCAGTTTGATTCTGAGAGAGAAAATGGGAGCCCAAGGCTACGGGCTTATTCCTAGCCACTGTGCCATAATATTTCTGTTACAAGGGTTAGGAAGCTACCCCCAGTTCTGCCTTCAATGAAAGTCTAGTTCACTCAACATGAATGAGTACATGTGCATGTCTCTGCTCTCTTTCTCTCATAGATGCACATGTGTCCAGGCTCACACTTGCATTATCTGAAAATACCTAATCTTGATTAAAAACCAAATATACTGCTCGCTGACAAGCACGCCTCTTGGCAAAGAGACACAGACCGACAACGTGCACTTTAGTAATTATGTGACTTAGAATTTATACCCACTGCTGCTGGATATAAATTACTTTGGATATACAGCCCAGCTCACAAGAACAGACCTGTGCAGAGCAGAGGCAGGAAACAGAACTACAGCTGTCCCAAAAGGAGGTTGCTTTTTCTATGCCACCATACTCTCAGGTGAAAGAGGTTTTACAGGTTTTGCATGGACAAAACCTACAAAACCTTTGAAGAGCAATTGCAGTGGTCCGGTTGGAGCACCCTAACCATTTGGTCATTAAAATCTAGACACACACACACACACACACACACAACACACACACAAACACACACACCCTCTCCTTGCTCTCCTTGTGCCTTCAATATGCTTTCCAGGCTCATGGCGGCCCTGGGACATCAAGGGGAAATGCCACGGGGCAACAATCTATTATATACACGGCTGCTGCGGCAGTGATGGTGTGGGGGCCTGGGGGACCTGCACATGAGACGGAGGATGAAACAGCCTTTTCATCTTGCCGGTCGAAATTAATGCATTCGACTGGAGGTTTCACAGAGGATCGCTGGACTGCTAGCGGGAATGCAGGAACGAGAGCCTCCCAGCAAAACAGATCGACGGCTTCAAACGGGGACTATCCTGACTTCACACCTGTCAGATCTGGGCACAATGGAACTATTTTTTTGCTTTGAGGGCATGAATCCAAGAAGACCATCCTACCTGCCAAGGAGGTTTTATCGCCTTTCGTTCCTCCTCCTTCCAAACCCACTCAACCTGTTAGACCAAAACAGCCACACAACTAAAAAGGGAAAGAGGATACAGCCTGTGCGATAACTTCATCAGCCATCTATAAAAGCCTGAGCACTGGGGGAAGGAATAATGAATACAGGGCTTCACCGGTTTGGGGAGGGTAACTCCAGGGATCCTGACTGAGGCCACAAAGACCTGTTGCTGCCGATGGGAAGTTGACAAGCAGAATCCTTACCAGAGTCCTTTAGGGAATCTTGGTGGGATCCTGCAATTTAGGGTGGACTCACATAAAAATAATAATCTTAGAATGGCAGAGCTGGAAGGGACCCTATGGGTCATCCAGTCCAGCCCCTGTCAACAAGGCTCAGTGGGGAATCGAACTCTCAACCTCTAGCTTTGCAGCCAGATGCTTTAAACCACTGTCGAGGCATATCCTGGCTCAGCTTTTCTGCAACTGCCCTATGGGAGCAGCTCCAGGGGGACCCAGCCGGTAAAAAGAGCTGCGGCCTCTGCTCTGGGTGAAAGCGGGTGAGCGGAAGGAGGATAGCAAGGAAGAGCAGCGAAGACGAAAAATGCTCGCTGAGAGCATCTTGCCTTAGACCAAGGACCGGGGTCTAAGGGCCAAGTCTGAGACCCAGTGTGGTGCAATGGACAGAGTTCTAGACCAGGACTCAAGAGATGTGGGAGCCAATCCCCGCTCAGCCTTCAAAACCTTGAACATCTCGCATATCTCAAAAACCCCATTGCTACTAATAAAGACCATGTGCCGTCAAGTCAATTGTTTCCAGGGTTTTCTGCACAGATAATACATAGAAGTGGTCCACAATTCCCTTCTTCTGTGGGTACCCCGGGATTACTGTGCAGCTTGCCCAAGGCCACCCAGGCTGGCTCTTCTCTCTGAAGGCCAAGTTGGGAATCCAACTCCCAACCTCTAGTTCTGCAGTCAGAGAGCTAAAATGCGGAGCTATCCAGCCAGTTCAAAAAACCCTACCAGAGACTCCATCAGCCAGAAGCAATCGGACAGCACATAACAATAATGACATGGGCTAATTTTGTTGTGTCTTGGGTCCCTTATCCTGCCCCCCCCGGCCCAGATAAACAGTCAGTGAAAACAACCATCGGTTTGTTTTTGAACAGGGGTTTCTGTGTATGCCAAGCGAATTTCATCAGCAGCCACCCACTCGAAAAGAAGCAAATTTGCTTCTTTAAACAGGCCTTTCCTATGTTTGATGCTTAAATCTGACATTGTGGTTTTTGTGGGTTACAGGGAGTGCTGTACAAATGGTTGCATGCTGGTTCCGTTTCCCACGCAAGAGCCTCTGAAAATCAGGTGTGGGTGCACGATGCCAGCCTCCTTTAACACCTTCACTTTCCTCACATCTGTGGCTTCCAGAGATTCATTGCTTCCTTGTAAGCTGCATCAGTACAGCCGTGCTTGTGCCAAACATATCAGGAAGCAAGGGTGCTTGGACTCTGAAATATTGTGGCTCAAGCATCTTCTCTTTCTCTCCGCGTCTCTTAGCCAGGAAAAGAAATTCCATCACACAACACGCCTTGCTGGTTTTCTGCTCTCCAATCTCTCTCCTCCTCCCCCCTTCCTCTTTCCCTCCTGGATGCACAGAGCTGCAGATAAGCAAATATTTCAATTTCCCCCATGCAGACAAGCACATGAGGACAGGCTTTTGCACGCATTCGGAATGACTCATCTCCCGACAGCTGCTGCTTGGATCCTTTGCCCTCGAAGACATGGCCCCAGGGAGGGAAGAACAGCCAAAGCTTGCTGGGAGCAGTCCTCAAATCCTGCAGAGACGGGAGCGTCCGAAGGGCCCTGCAGGGTCTAACCGAGGGCCTCTCGACTTCAGCAATTTGGTTTAGCTTTCTGCTGCATCGCCAGAAGCCTGTACCTTTCTCCTGAAGTACCTTACATTTCCCCTGTAGACAAAGGAGGCCCTCAGGTGGGGTAGGGCTGTAGCAATCTTGCTTCCAGAGGCACCAGCCTGGCACCTCTGAGGGACAAGAGGTGGTGCTTCTGTAGGGTCTGGATGGAGCAAGACATTTTTAGTTGGGCATCTGCATTTGGATAGGGAAACCCAAGCCCTTTAAAGGCTCGATCCCCTCCTGCAGTCTCTGACCTCTGACCCCATTGGCAGGGGCTGATGGGAACTGGAGTCCAATCTCTGGTGGGCCTAGAAATGCAAGGATGTGGAAGGTCACCCTACCTCAAGGTAGACCTTTAGACTCTCTATCCATCCGTTTGTTCCATCAGAAATGCTGCGAACATTCGTGGTTTGTGAATAATGTTGAACCATTTCAAAAGGTGGACTTCTTTGGGCAGAAAGTTTGTCGAAATTGTGAAAAATAGCCAAAACGTCCTTGCAGAGACATTTAAGGAAAAGATGATTGAAGGTGAACGGTGGCAGGGTGCAAATGCATTGGCACCAACTAGAGGTGGGCACAAAATGAACCATAAACAAGCAAACAAACAAAAACACACACAACCCAACAAATTGCGCTGGCTCATGGTTCTTTCCACGACCCATTTTGAGGGGGGTGGTGGTTCCGTTTTGTCGAAGCAAAACGAAATGGTGAACTTTTTTTCCTCTTTGGCATTTGATTTGCTTTGACAAAAGGGGCTGAACCGGTTTGTTTTTTCCAGGTGTCCGCGTTGGTTTGTGGTTGGCCACAAGCTACGAATCCATCACAAGCCCCGGGTTTTCTGTCTCGTGCCCATTCAACCAATGCTCCCAAGACAGAAGCAAAACCATCATAATCTCTGGACACGTTTGCAAGGAAATGACTTTTCTTACCTTGCTGAGCATCTGGGACTGTCCCACCAGGATCAACACATTGGAGGCCAAAATGGAGACGCAAAAGTTCAGGAGAATGATGGAGCGTTCCGACTTGATAAACCTGCAAAGCATAAACAGTGGAGGGGAAGTCTATTTTGAGAGATGGCTGGAGCTTCTCCCTAAATATTGGCAGGCTTGCATGGATTACAGAGTAAGAGAAGGTTAGCTTTGGACATGACCTGCAAAGTCATCAACTCCAACCTCACGTTGATACAGGAAATCTGGAGTTAGAACACCCCTGCTAGATTGGCTATCCAACTTCTGTTTAAAAAGATCCATAATGAAGAGTCTAAAACTTCCCAAGGTAGCCTTTGCACGGTGGAATGGCTCTAACTGTCAGGAAATGACCCCATTTGTTTAATTGGAACTTTCTTTCCTGTAATTTGCACCTCTTTACTTCAGGTTCTGCCCTCTGGAGCCACAGAAAAACAACCATCTTCCATCCCCTACATGGCAATCCTTGAAATATTTCAAGATAACGATCACGCCAGTTTCCGCGTCTTCTCTCCCTCCGCTTAGGGAGACCCAGCTCTCTCAACCTTACCTCCTAGAAGTTGGCTTCCAGCTTCTTCACCGTTTTGCTTGGCTTCTTCTGGGCACTCTCCAGCGCAGTGAATATGCTTCTCAAGCTGTGTTGCTTAGCCTATTTATGGCCTCCCAAAGGGAGGTAATTTTTCCAGGAGTTGATCCTCTAACTTTGTGGGTCTTCATAACCAGTTGCATGTATTTATTTTCCTTGAACCAGTAAGTTTCTCTTGTTCTCCATGGGGTGTTGATCCTATAACCACTGCCAGTGGCACCCTGTGGCCCAACGGGCTGGCAGGACACTTCACTGTGCCTTTGGGGAATGAGGCACCACCCCGGATTGGACCATGGGCCACTTGTTGCCACACACATTTTCTTGCAGACTTTTAAATGTGGTGCAAGGTTCATTGGGTCATATAGAGAAGTACCCCCATGCCCACCCGCCCACAGTGCCCAAGGAAAGATCCCCCTATGAATAGCTTCCATTGCTATTTGGAAATGCACAAAAATGATCTTTTCACAATCACAATGGAAACATGGGCAAGAACGTGGGCTACTTCTTTCCTCCACTGTGTGTTGGGAATCAGACTATTTTTCAAAGAAATGGGATGAGCAATAGAAAAGGCTTGAATTTCCAATTTGTGCCAGATCTCATTGCATCTCACATATAGAGAGTCATTTCCCTCTCCTTCTCCCAATCGCTCCATGCCCATCATTACTTTTTGTCCAATGGCCATGTCGTTGGCCAAGGTCAACTTAACACTGCCGCATAGAAACCCATTTCTAGCCCTGACTTACCTCCAGAAGGCAGCGTAGATCACCAGTAACGTCAGCAAAGCCATACAAGAGACAGCGCAACCGATCATAAGCGGGACCGAGGGGGAACTACCAGAGTCCATGGCCTGCAACAGAGAGGAAGAGAGAAGACAGGATCAGCTGGAGAAGCAGGACTTCCAGGGAGGATCTTCTCCCCTTCAAAGGAAGAAGACCTAGCCACAGTCAGAAACTGACTAACAGAATTTCCTTTCATTCTGGAAGCGAGCAAATAAAGATCACCCAAACAAGAAGAAGAAGAAGAAGAAGAAGAAGAAGAAGAAGAAGAAGAAGAAGAAGAAGAAGAAGAAGAAGAAGAAGAAGAAGAAGAAGAAGAAGAAGAAGAAGAAGAATGAGTTGAAGTCATGACTGGCCTACAAGCATCTTCCCACCGCATTCCATGAAAGCCGAATCCAGTTTTATCCCCTGACCCATTGAAATGAAGGAGGATTTCCATTAATGTGGATAAAACACACTAATGGAAATCCTCCTTCATTTCATTAAAACAAGTTTGATGCTTCTTATGAGTCTTCTCTAGTATTTACATCTAAGAGAGTGAGGCAAACATTTCCTACAGGCCCACCCCAAGCTAGGATTCTGAATTTCGTACCATGCCAACTCTTAACTTCCTCGGCACAAGCTCTGAGAAAGTATAGCTTGGCCATGCCACAGGGACTTCTTCTAGTCTCTATCTCTCCTCCTGCTAGATCCCAAGATTTCATGCTCAGGGTGGAAAGGAGGAGGGAACCATTCCTAGGGATGTGCGACTCGCTGTCAAGTGGGACTTACATTGCACTGGTGACTCAACTTGTGTTTTCTTTTCAATGACTCAAACCCACCTCAGGGCTTAAAACCCACTCACACCCTCCATATTTTTTTTTTCCTGGGGTGAGGGAAGCTTGTTTTTAATGGGGAAGCAGACTTGGGACTTGGGACCAAAGACCCCGATTCAAACTTGGGGCTTGTCAATATCCTTAGCTATTGCCTCAAAGGTGATGCTTCCGCCTGCATTACTTGGAGCCTCAAAGTCTTTACATGGGCTGGAGGAGGTGGAAAAAAAGCTCCAGGGCTTTTCAAGCAGCACTGTGGGCGGGCATGCGTTCCCTCTCCAAAAGGCAGTCCCTTCTCTAATGCGGGAGAGAAGCATATTGCCCTGATTTGGAGCCCCGGACACCCTGTTTTGCTTCCTGGGGCATTTCGGGGCCAGAGGGGAGTGGCAATGGGGGTGAGAGAATGAACCGCAGCTCCTTTGCATTCGTTGGGGTTGTTTCTCTATCTCCTTGCCAACAGGGCCTGCTTCTGGAATATCAATGATCTCGCCTGACTAAGGAAGCATGAAAGAGAGCAGGCGGTTGTGGGCAAAAGGGGTGAATGGAGCTTCTTCTCTTGACCAGCCTTTGCCAGCAGCAGTTGGTAGACCAGGACGCGGAAGCACGCCTCCTCAAGACGGTCCCCCATTTGCTTGGGGCCGAGCTTTCCCTCCCCATCGCTCAGCTTATTATTAATGCCTTGAAGGCTCCTTAATAACCCTTGTAAATTTCAACAGCCCTAGCAGCCGGCATGCCCGGGGTGGGCGAAAGAAACGCCGCAGAGAATAGATCTACATTATCTACTGCGGCACTTAAAGACTGTCTGGGAAAAATGGGAAGGAGTTCAGTAAGAGAAAATAGGAGGGCAGGAG